GGAGTGCAGTGGTGCAATCTTGGCACACTACAACCTCCACCTCCCGGGTTCAAGTGATTCTTGTGCTTCATCGAGTGTCTCAAGCAGCTGAAATTACAGGCATGTTCCACCACGCCCAGCTAATTTTTATATTTTTAGTACAGATGAGGTTTCCCCATGTTGGCCAGGCTGGTCTCAACCTCCTGGACTCAAGTGATCCGCCTGCCTCAGCCTCCCAAAGTGCTGGGATTTACAGGCTTAAGCCACCACTCCCAGCTATGATGAATTTTACTACTCTAAATACCATGCAGGTGGGAGTATACAGTATTTGTCCTTTTGTGACTGGCTTATTTCTCTTAGCATAATGTCCTCAAAGTTTATACATGTTGTAGCATGTGGCCTGTGTCAGAATGCCTTCCTTTTGAATGCTGGACAACGTTCCATTGTATGTCCATAACCACATTTTATTTATCCATTCAAATGCTCATGGACACTTGGGCTGCATCTACCTTGTGTTAGTCTGTTAGGTCTTCCATGACAAATACCACAGACTTGGAAGCTTAAACAACAGAAATGTATTTTTTTTTTCACGGTTCTAGAGACTGGAAGTCCATGATCAAGGTGCCAGCAGGGTTGATTTCTCCTGAGCCTCTCTCCTTGGCTTGCAGACAGTTGTCTTCTCATTGAATCTTCACATGTCCTTCTTTCTGTCTCCCTGGTGTCTGTTCCTCATCTAACCCTAATTACCTCTTTAAAGGGGCTACCTTCAAATACAGTATCACTGGGGGTTAGGGCTTTGACATATAAATTTTGGAGAGACACAATTTCATCCCAAACACACCTCTTAGTTATTGTGACTAATGCTGCCATGAGTATGGGTACTTGAATATCTTTTCAAGTACCTGCTTCCAATTGTTTTGGCTAGATTCTCAGCAATGAAATTGCTGGATTATATGGTAATTCTATTTTTAATATTTTGTGAGCCCATCAGGCTGTTTTGCATAGTGGCAGCACCGTTTACATTCACATGGCATTATTTGTTAATCTTCAGAGTAGTTTTGCTCTTTTTGAAAGCCCACTGATTTCCAATGTCCTGTAGTAGGAAACTTCCCTGGAATCTTTCTGTTTGTCTCCCAGTGGTTTGTTTACTAAATACTAAATCCTCCCAGAAACTTGGTGTCCCTGCTCCTTCTGCAGTTCCTGTCAACAACCTCAGTTATCACTTCCACACTCAGCAACTAGGAAAACATCACAGAACAGAGGAGGAAGCCAAAAAAATGCCCCGGTCTCACACAGGTGCTTCATGTGAGCTATGGACTCTCAGGCTAAGGCCCCTGAGCTTTTAGGAGGTTTGTGCTGGATCCCGCCCTATCTCTGGGCATGGCAGATCCTGAGCTTGCCTAGGACCTGCTGCTTTCAGAATGGTGATGAGACAATAGATTTTGGACATCCCTCGGCGAGCAGCTTTTAAAACACTACTGTAGGTTCATACTCACATCAACAGAATGGATCAGGGGTGTGCGTAGGATGTGGTCCTGCATGGAAGGGAGGAATTGGGGTGTGAGAGATGTTGGTGGATGCTTATGTGAGGAAAGGTGTGAAGGTGTGCATGGAGCAGGGGTTTGTGTGTAATAGCATGTGAGGCATGGGGGTTGGATGTGGGTGTGTGGGGGGTGGGTGTGCATGGGTATGTGTGGAGTAGGCTGGGAGGTTTCCGGGGCTGGATGTGAGGGTCTGAGGTGTGTGTGGGGTAAGGGTGTGTGTATGTGGAAGGTGAGGTGTTTGTAGGCATGGGGAGTAGGAATGAAAGTATGGGGGTTTGGTATGATGGTATGAGGGTCTGTGTGGAGTAGGAGGTGAGGGGTAGATATGAGAGTGCATGTAGGATGGAGGTGAGCACTAGAGACTGAGTGTGTGTGTGTGTGTGTGTGTGTGTGTGTGTGTGTGTGTGTGTGTGGAGTAGAGGATGAGGGTGTGTATGTGGCAGGGGTGAGGCTGTGGAGTGGGCATGCTGCTGTGTAGGGAAAGGGATATGCAGAGGGTAGGGTGTAAGTAGGTGTGTGTGTGCCTGTGTGTGTTGGAGGGTCCTACCAAGGAAAGGACCAGTGGCTTTGCTCTTGGTGCCCATCCCTGCTGGAGATGGGAGGGTAAAAGAGCAGCTGAGACCTGCAGAACCTTCTTGTGGGGAGGGAGAGAGCCTGGCCAGGGATTCAGGCTGACTCACTTTCACCTGGTCGGGGAAATTAATTTGCCGGCATCTGCATCATGGCAGGATGCATGCGTCAGTCTGTATGACTTTGTTCTTATTAAGAATCATGGGAGAAATTTAAAATGAGAAATAAAGAGAGTGGGTGGGAGGTTATGCTGAGGGCTATGAAAGATAAATTGCTTCTCCCTCAGTGGCTGGGTTATGCTAAATGACCAAGGTCATCTCCCTCTTCTCTCACCCTGTTCTCATGTGAGAGAAGTAACTTTAGAAGACACACACACACACACACACACACACACACACGCAGATGTGGATTAAGGAGCCTCAAAGCCCCTCCCAGATGCTAGGCAGCCTCTGCAGCAGTAACTCTGTGCACTGCGGTTTGCTGCAGTCTTTGCTTTGGAGGGACTGTGGCTTTTATGAATGGTAGCCTGGGAGGGACCTAATGTCCTCTGCTTCCTGATGTCAGCACAGTGAATGAAACACTTGCAAGGCGTAAAGCCTCAAGCACCCGGGAAGCAGATATCTTTTCAGATTGGTTCTTCAGATGCAGCGTCTCTTGCTGACGAAATCACGAGTCCCATGTGTCACAGATAAGCCATATACGTTAGGATTTAAACAAGGCAGAAACTGAGCCTGCAGGTGGAATGATGCGCATATGATTCTGGCACAACCAGTTCTTTCCCTAAAGCAGCTGTTGTCACCACCCCTTCCTGCCAGGCAGTGGAGGAAGGTGCTTGCGGGAGCTGCGGACACACCGTTGTGTGTTAGGCATCTACTTAGCTGGCCTCATGTTCTGCTTTTGCTGGCAGAATTCCTTGCTGAAGCTCCAAGCCCTCGAATCTGATCTGTGCTCTGCATTTTTAACAAACCAGGAAGAAGCTGCTCAGGTGCATGGAGTCAAGGACCCAGCCCCAGCATCGACCCAGAGTGTGCCTGCTGATGGGGTGGATTCTGCAGGTAAGAGCAGGGCTGGGGGTTGTCCCAGATTGTACTCTTAAAGGTAGTTCAGTCTCTTGCTGCTTCACACTCAGCCTGAGCCCCTGAGGGAAAATGGTGCCTGGGACAACATGAAAGCCCTAGACGTGCTTCTCAGTTGTCCCAGAGGAGCTGAGGGGGAGTAAGAAGAATTGGGATTTGCTGTAACATGGAGCCTTGGAGCTGGGACCAAGGGACACACTTAACACAAATGGGTGTCAGATGAAAGTACCCATCACAACTTCTAGTCTTCATTTTCCCATTTGGTCTCCTGGGACAAATGAAAGCTATGCTTATTTTATATTACTGGACCTAGATAATCTGTGCTGTCTTGAAACTCTTCTTTTTGATGTGTTGAGGATGTAGAAGTTTCCACACTGCTACTTCCTTTCCTCTGTTAACTGCTTGTAAGATGATGCATGCATGCAGGAAAAATGGGGATGAGTGCTCCACCAATACCTCATTCTGATCCTGTATTGCCTTGTTATATCTCCATTGTTTTTTTCATTAATTTCCTTGTCAAAAAGTCCCAAATTGGGTCTCAATTTTTTGTTAGTCTCTCTGGCTTTAATTCTGGGATGGTAGATTGGCTAGCCAACAGCGGGCAAATTAATCTTCCCAGGAATATTTGGAGAGGAAAGAAACACTAATTTTTTAAGTGAGAGCAAAAATTATGTTTTCTAACATGAAGAGGTCATGTTAGAAGGCTTGCAGACTGGTTTCCAGATGAATTATAGAAATAGGCTTAGGCGAACTTTCTTCATGAGAGGTCCATAATCTCTAGGAGTTGAAGGAAAAGATTTACAAAGGTAATCTGTTTCAGTACCATTAGCAATACTGTAGTACATTTTAGATACTCCTGTTGAAAGCCGACCCCGTGAATATATACACCTACTGTGTGCCCACACAAATTAAAAATAAACAATTTAAAAAATTTTTAAGAGAAGGAAAAAAAAATAAGAAAGAAAGCAAACCCACATAGTCTAAGCAGGCAAATCAGTACTCTCCAGTGTTGGAATGTGTATTAATAATGGTAGCATATAATAGCTACTAGTAGTAGCTGCTATGATTATTCAAAGCTTTCTATGATCCTGGCCCTGTTCTAAGCACTTTTTGTGCATTATATTATATCCTTAAACTGACCTGTGAAGTACTGCTATTCATCGTAACACACTGAAGCCTAGCATAGCATTGCTGGTGAGTGGTACATTGTTTCCCTGTGAATGTAGGTGGTTAGTTGGCTGTCTCTGTTGCTCAGTGATCTCTCCTGCTCTGTTGGCCATTATGTTTGAGTGAGTGGTAAATAAAATTGAGCAGGAGCCAGTGTCAGGCCAATTAGTGATTTAAGTCGGATTATTTAGACAATATCCCTTTTCTTCCCTCAACACCATATTCCACTCCCTGCAAACAAACAACATATTTAATACAAAACACATAAAGAAGTGTCAAGCCAATTAGAAGTTAACTGTTGAGTTATTTGGATTAACTATACAAATGTCTGACAAAGTGTTCAGTAAAATATTTGTTGCATGTTGGATATGGATATATTTTTTCTTCTTTTCATCATGACTTTTATGTGTCTTCCCAACAATTAAAAATAGTTTTAGATTTTCTCATTTGGCATGGGCAATATTTTGTATAAGCTTATTATTACTCATTATAAAATGAAAATAAACACAGGATTTATGTAGGGATTGCTCACACAGAGGAGCTAGTAATACATTCCATGTTAAATATCAAATGGCAAAGATGTGCAGAAGGTGCTTTAGAGAGGAGGCTTGTGGGTTGCATGCTGGACTTTCCAAAATGTAGAGGAATCTGAAATGTCTCAGAGCCCTCCCCAGACAGTCTAGAAAACTAGACTGTAGAGACATCTAGAAAACTGATGTTTTCAGGGACCTATGGAGTCTCTTCATTTGTCACTACAAAGTGACAGGCATTTTTAAGATGCCTTTGTGACTTAAATTATGGGATGGTTTGGTCTCATTGGCTTCTAAGATGCACTCTTATAGGAAGGCCATGCATTTTCTAATCCATGCATCACTCAGGGAAGAAATTTATTCTTAGATCCATGGTTCTTAACTCAGGGATAGATTTCTAGAGTGATCTGTGGACACCTTAAAACTTTGGGTTTTTTCGTGTTAGTTCTGATGAGAAGATGATTGTATTAGATGAACACAGATGGCTAAAAGTTTATAAAAGATTATAGTAACTTAAAAATAGTCTTCTCTTTCTTAATATCTAGCATTATCCCTAACCTTACATGTATATAAATATTCAAATGATAATTGTTGTAAAAATTCAATTAGTAATTGTTGATGTCAATAACACGGACAATATCCAACAGGTGATTTTTATAAGAATACCCAGATATAATATTATCCTGCCACTTAACCATAAATAGCAAACATTCTTAAGTATAAATTCATGTGACCTAGTAGGTTTCAAATTCACTATAGACTTGATTGGCTTTGAATTGAGTTTATGGGTTACTAAGATCAGTTCCACCTAGTAAGATACTTGACATACTCCCCTGTCCTAAACATCCAGTTGTAAACTGCATATGCCACAAGAACACATTTTATGGCACCCCTGGGGACACTGTATTCTAGATACTGTTCCAGAACCTTCTTACAGATCATAATTACCAGGAAGCTTTTCCAACATGGAGATTCTCTTGAGAAGATCTGTGTATTTCATAAATACTCCCGAGTAATGGAACCACACTGGTCAAGTGGACAGTGTCTTGAATTGATACAGAATGTCAAGGTCTCTCTGACTCTGCTCTACCTCAATTTTGCCAACAGGAAAATGCTCACAGGTCACATGGGACTTATAACTCAGGGTCTGTGACCAGTTGGCTCCATCTACTTATTTCAAGAGGAGAAAGCCCACAGGTTGGGAGTGAGTAGGATGGGGATATAGACAGATTTGAGGTATCAAGGCCCTTAGAGAAAAATCACGGAGAAGAAATCAGCTGCAAGGCAGCTTGGGGAAGTACAAAGGGTAACGAGCTGGCTCGTTTTGCACAGAATTGTCCTATTTTTAGCACTAAATGTCCCACATGCTAGGAAATATTCACTTCCAGGTATTCCAGGACAGTTGTTCCTACTTATAGATTGCAAACCACAACCTGTGAGTCTGAATCTTTGTGTTTTCCCAACAATTTGTTAAAATGTATGTTGACATGTAATTTCCAATGTGATGATATTTGGAGTTGGGACCTTGGGTAGGTGATTAGGCCATGGGATTAGGCCCTCATAAGAGTACAGAGAGCTAGCTTGCCCTGTCTTCCATGTGAGGCTATAAGAAGTCAGCCCCCTGCAGAAGTCAACTGGAAGAGAGCCCTCATCAGAAGTCAACCAGGCTGGCACCTGATCTTGGATTTCCAGCCTGCAGAACTGTGAGAGATAAATTTCTGTTGTTTATAAGCCACTCGGTCTATGGTAATTTGTTATAGCAGCCAGAAATGACTAAGGCAGAAACCCACAGAATAGGCTCAAAATACCTGTAACTCTGTCAATATCTTCTTATAGCTGAAGCAAATATTTCCAGCATGGAATTGGTAAACACCTAATCTGATATGGTTGAGTGGAAAATGGAATGAGGATTGTCTTTTCAACTGCTTGTCATTTTAAAGTGTGCAGAAGGACTGTTCATGTTCCACATGACTCAGCATAGTAACCTTTGTTCTGTCTGACCAGGGATATATGATGGTTTGCAGTTTTAGCAAAAACTGTAACCATAGATAACTGAATACCTGTTACTAGAAATAATAATTCCATAGCAGTACTTTATGATATTTTTCTAAAATCTTGATTTTCAAGTAACTTTCAATTTGGGTAAGACACTAATGTAGTATGTCTATTTAGAGTCTACAACTATTCTCATGCAGATTCTGCATACTCTGTAGGTCTCTTCCAAAGTTGAAGTTGACATAGGTCAGAGTCAGCCAGAACCTGACCTTTTTGCTCATATTTCCAGACATTGTCCACCTGACCAGAAACTTTCAACTAGCTGAAAATGCTTACTAAACTTACAGATGTATGAAATCCCTACCTTAAAATGAAAAATTAAAACATAAAAATGAGGTTTGAGAATCCCCACATTGGAAAAGCTCCCTGGGTGATTCTGAAGTGCAAGGAGGTTCAGTAATACTTTATAGAACATGGTACCACTCCAGGGATGACATGAAATATGTTCCTGTTACAGGTGCAATTTACAAATAGATTTCTAGAACACGAAAGCATTTTCAGGTATCCTTCTAGGAGCATCTGATTATCCATATAACTTGATATTTCAGCCTATGTGGGGGCAACCCCAGATAGTCTTTGAAAGTCAGTAAGAGGAAATCTTCATTCAACCTCAGAAGGGCACAGAATTTCCAATTAGAAACTTAATTCATTATGGGGTGTGTGTGTGTGTGTGTGTGTGTGTGTGTGTGAGAGAGAGAGAGAGAGAGAGAGAGAGACAGAAAGAGACAGAGAGACAGAGACAGAGACTTATAAAACCTTCTAGAGCCTTTATATACATTTAGGATGTACCAGTTGAAAAATGGCTACCATTATGGAAAGTATTACTTCACTTATTTGTCCTAAGCTGGTTCTTTTAAAATGGAGGTTTTCAATTGGGGTCTATTTTTTGCCCCCCCACCACAGGATATTTGGCAGTATCTAGAGACACAACTGGTTACAATGAGGGGGTGGCATCTAGTGAGTAGAGGCCAGGCATCTAGTGAGTAGAGGCCAGGAATTCTGTCAAACATCCTGAAATGCACAGGACCACCTCTCTCCTTCATCAAATAATTATCTGGTCCAATAGTGCTGAATAGTAATAGTGCTGAAGTTCAGAAACCTTTGCTTTAAAAGCTTTTAAGTGAATAACATCAACATTAGCTAACAATGATCTCTGTATCTGCATCAGGCATTAGTTGATGGATTTTCTTATTCTTCACAAGAACTCCATGATATAGTTTTCATTAT